TTCCTTCAAGCATTCAGAAATTGTAGCAGAAAGGTCTGGTATGCAGCTCGCTTCTTCAAAACAAAAAGCAAAACCAATCCTCAAGCATTAATTTCCCCCTTCATTTCTGTCCCAAACTCCCTTCTTTGGGTTAAAACTTATCGTAGCAACAATTATAGCACAGTCCCAAAGTAAAAGGCTTCTCTGGTTTTGTAGTTCATCAGAAAGTATTTTATTCACTGCTGCAGAATATGAGCTAGATTATCATGTTACAGAGAAAATTTTCTAGGAAGACGAGGTCAGGCACTGCCTCTCAAGTTGTTATTGTGTTTGCTTTGGAAATGTAATCCTGTATTAGACTGGGTTCTACATAATCAGGCAGCACGTATGCAATAACACGTAGTACTAGACAATAAAACAGCAGCATAAGAAACAGTGCATGGTAGAGTACACATGCTCTGAACAGAAGAACTGTCTGTATCTTCTCTTTCTCGATTTATAAACTTGCATCTGTTAATATCTATCACTGAATAGCTGGAACAAGTTGGTCCCATAGAAAAAAGAATAACATGAGCTGTTTTTGCAGGACGCTAAGTATTTGCTACTGCTGTGAAAATGTATTTCAATACCAAATTTTGTAAAGCTGAAACCAGAATTGTAGCGTCTGCTGTGCATACAAGGATAAGGGAAGAGGCAGGAAGGCCCTGAAGAGCAAGAGCTTTTATAGCTTTCTCAGGCTGCCTGGAAGATCTAAGACATTCTTGCACATTTACTAACTAGTTCCTGCATTAATTGTTTTTGTTTTGGTTTGTTTTTTTGCATATGGCTGGTTGCCCACTAGTGAAATTTTGTTTACTGTTTGTGTTTATTGCCTGGACTTATCCTGGCATTGGATGAAAACCACAATCCATAGTGCCTCTTTCATCTTTTTGGTTTGCATCTACTAAAAATGCCTGGCTCCAAATATACTGACTCCACCTTCCCAAAATGTGGATGAGTCAAAATTCAATTTGGTTAGGAATTTTGTCTGCTCTTTAGCATTTTGGTCACATTGGCCCATGGGAGTACCTTCTGCTGTCACAGCAAGAGCTTGTAATTTAAGCCCTGAGTGTGTAATTTCATCCCTGATAAGTGACTGTGAGATTTAGAATCACTACTCTTTGTAATACTCCAATGAGCAATACCCCAAAGCTTTCAGCTCCTGGGATGAGAAGATTGAGCCAGCCAGGCTAACTCAACATATGATCACCTTCAGGAGAGGACTTGTGATTCTTTTTATCATCACTATACCTTTTGATGAGTTTGTTTTCAAACCCACATGCTTCTCTTATGGTCAATAGATAGTTACTCCTATAAAGGATTATGTTTTTTAACATTCTGATACTGCAGCAGTGTGTCTGTGTGTGTGTGTTGGTAAGAGCATTGGGGAAAGGCTGGTAAATCTCAAGGGACAAGAGAGCTTCAGTCAGTAGTGTCACTGATGGGGGTCCTCACATACCTAAGGACATCCAGTGACTGATGATTGGAATGGGATTTTTAACACATGATTTTGTGCAAATACTTATCTATATTTTAAGTAAAAAATGGAAGGACTCCAGTTTGTGACACCGTATAATGCGCGGAAGTTTGTGAAATTCATTAGTAATCCTGGTCACAAACTTTACATGCTGATCATGTTCAAATAGTGTCACATACCTTCACATTTTCTGATAATGCATTATTTGCATGTCTGAGCCATTGATGAAAATGTGTTGTGAACTTTGAAGACTTTTGTTCTTCTGAAGTGTACAATCAGCATTTATTTCCCAGGAGATCTTAATGAAGATACTCACAGTTCAGAGATAATTTGCATGTCTCTAGCTAAGTGATTTAAACACTAGGAGAGGAGAGATTGGAATACTGATCCCTGCCCTAAAGTCTGCTTATGCATTGTATGCGATTACTTTTTAATCTAGAAATTGTCTTTGAAAAAGAAATGGAATTGTTGCACATTGCAATGTTCTTTAAGACCATGCAAAATGAAGACAACATTATTTGCTTTCAAAAGAGAAAAAAAGAACAAGAATATTATACACTTCTGAAGTAGCTACCATTAATTTGGAGTATAATTTTGTATAATAGTGCAAGACACAGTAGGGGTAAAGAATAATTTAATGGCAAATGTAGAACTGTTTGGCGTCATTAATGACCCCATAGGTAAGCTTGTGCAAGACTCTGAGTACCAGTGTCTCTGACTAGCCTAAAATTCACATGCATCCTCAAGCTGACCTGAATTGTTTTCCTGGAGTTTGATGTAGGAAGAAAGATAAAACTGCAGACTCCTTAGATTAAGGACTTTGACGCTCAGTTCCCAAATTGAAGAGCTGTGTCTCAAATTCCTTCATGGAAGTGTAGTAGTTTAATATTAAATGAGTAGATCAGACTGCTGATACTCTTTCATCTTGTCTCCTGAGTCAAGAAAGTAAAACAATATGTTCCCTCAAATAATCTCTTTCCCACTAAGTACCTTTGAGGCTGATAAAGTGCAATCAGCTCCGCTAAATGCTTTCTGTAACAATTTTATTTTCTGAATTTGTGTGGCTGTGTGGCTGTTTGGGAGGAATTCGGCAAACCTACAGTCCAACTCAGAGTTAGAAATAGTAACTGCTGGCTCTTTCAGAGTGAGATGTGTCAAAAACTTGTGCTCTCCATGAAGAGGGAAGGGGGATTTCGCAGGGGAGTTCACATGTGTCTTTCCTAATATATGTATTCATCTGTGTCAAATGACATACATTGCATATATTGTCCTCAGGATGCAAAAGAATTTCTTTAGTAACTCAGATGAATCAGTTGATTTGACCAGGAATTAACTGGGCTCATAAGACTTTAAGATAAAAGAAACCTCTATAGTGGAATGCATACATTATGGTGAGGAAATTAGATCAAGGCAATAAATACAAACAGTGAGGAGAAAGTAAATCATCAGCTGGGAATATTTTGCATACAAGTAGTCTTTAGCAATTGGCTGGTAAAGCTACATGCACAAAGTATGTCTCAGGTCCTCAGGCACTCTAGGACACAGTATAAAAGCCAGCACAGTGAGAGTTGCTGCCATCCACTTCTTCTGCTTTATTCTCCTTGGTGAAAAGGGTAAGTCTGAACCTGCTTGCTATCTTTCAATGTCCTGAATTGTTGCCTTCATCGTATTTTATTTTTACACTATCTTGTCTATAGCAGTCTAAGGTTCATGCTCTTTATCAGTGTGTGTGGGAGGTC